AAGGCTGCGCCGCCGTGTGCGCTGCCGTGTAAGCGTAACATGCCTCTAGTTTGTGTTGGTGGCACGTAGAATGCCGTTCGGATTTACAAGAGCACCCCATTTGTGGTACGTTTTGTCGTCGACGCAGATGTGGGTCGGTGTCGGGAACAATGTCTTGTTCTATCCCCCCTTGAGACTACTTGTGTACTGCACTCATCTTTGCGTCCACCTGATTCTAGAAGCTCCCGGAGTGACACAAGTGCATCAATAGCGGATAAATTCCTGTTTCCTGTACCCACAATAACACCAACGTGAGGTACCTTTACTTGCCCTAAACACCGGTTCTGGCTTCGTTGGGCGATGCATCTTTTGTTTGTTTCTTGGTAGTCATTGATGGTTTGCTTGGCTTGTGTCACGCTCTTCTCGCTTCTTGTATTGTGAGGACATGTGCCTTCACAACTATGATATGGTGTATTGACTAGGGAACGGCAAAGCGGGCGTCCAGCTCGGTCAAGTCTAATTGCTTTGGTGGGGCCGTGCTGGGACCAAGCTAGGATCAGCTGAGTCACCAATTGGGAACAAGACGCCTCATTCGACGTTTAATTGTAACAGTACTATGCTGGAACCAGTACATCCGTACACGACCTTAGCATCCGCAACTACAAGACATGCCTCGCTGCGCTCCGGCCTTGAAAGCTTTATAATCTGCTTTTTAGAAGAGGAACTATGGGGAATTATTGGATGAGATTAATTTTAAGCTGCCTAAGCCTTCAGATCTATCAATCCCTGACAAAGTGCTGTCGGACATGACGTTACACAGCGACACTGATGTGATTCGGGAAAATAGATTATCACCAGAGTCGTTTCAAATGAACTGAACACCATCGTAAAGGGGCAGAGTCCAGGTTGGCAGTTGACAATACACCTCGGAAAACGTTCCATGCGAGGGCGCATCGAGCGTATACTTCCTCCTCGTATTAGCACTGACGGACAGCTTATGTGCGATGTATTAGCATTTATGGTATACTATGGGCACGTTGGAGTGGGTACTCCTGGAGAAGACGATGACGAGAGTACTCGTATAGCTGGGATGAGTAGCTATGAACACGCGCGAACACTCTATGTACTGCCTATGCTGGCCATGCCGGCCCTAAACTACTCCATCATGCCTTCCTCGAGGCTCGGTCCGACCCTCCCTCGTCCAACGTTTCGACTGCTATGAGGCCCATCGGATTGGCCCACACCGGCGTAGGTGAGAGCGTCGGTCATCTGTCGGATGGGCACCCAGACAGATTGTCTCCTGGCAGATGCTCTCCTGGCATAAAATGGGCGTCGGGAGGGCCCACAGTCTTGACTCACACCCTGTGTGCGATGTATAATATACACTCATGGTATAGGTAGCTGCGAAGCTAAGGTATTTCTGGAAGCAATTACAGGGTAGCTTAAAGCAGAGGCGACCAGGTGACGATGTAGCACGACTCCACATGAATAAGAGGCGCGCAGTCAAACTACCACGGCCGATATAGTTGAACAGGTGCAGCGATGTTTGGCTGAAGCTGCGGAGTTGACGCGCTACGTCGACCTGCGCATCAGCTCCGCTTCAGCCAAACATCGCTGCACTGTGGTCCTACCTGTGTCATATTGCTCAGGGTGGGTCACAGATAGAAGTCCACTGACAAGAGAAAAGTTGTGGGCTGACACAACAGACCAATCTTCGACCGCACGATTGTGAGCCCGTCTTGTTCTCTTACCATCCCCCCGTGGGAACTTTTCATCCTCCCTCTCCTCCACTAAATTATGCGACATCTATCCCCATCGGTTTAGGGATGCCATCACCACTCCACTCCGTTTCACTTCTTGAGGGACGACAACAAGGCGATATACCCATCGGGTGTTGATCACACACCATCCACCATGCAACAACACTGTCGGCGACATCAGTCCCTCCCACCTCAAATTGCTTCAAGCTAGCGCTCAGCGCCCGAGCCACCTGTTTTCTCTCCCATCTTTGCCCGCAAGGGACATAGGACCCCGACCCCCGTACGTCACTCATTTGGTACCTCCACGTTGATGGCCTCTTCGGGGTCATCGGCCTCCTATGGGGTGGGGACCAGGTTTGTTGGGTTCCGGCCCACTATGAGGAGTGGAATAGGGACCCGGTATCGTTTGTAGCACTCTTTTCTATGGCAATTTCACCTCATCGACATGCTCCTTGTGTGCCGCCTCTCCCATACATGCTACCACAGCATACTATACTCAACTTGTGACTTTCTTCGGGTCACCTCATCCTCTCAATGATCCTAGTCCACTGCGACTAGTGTTGCCGCGGTTCGTGAAACCAGCCCGAACCGCCTCCTTGAAGTACTGTGATTCATCGTCAGAATAGACAGACTTTTGTGCAACGCGTGTGGAATATTTTTCCTTCGCCCAACTTGCTTAAATTTAGGTTTGAGATGTCCTTGGTATGTGATCTACCTTACAAAAAATCGCTGAGTGAAGAAAGCATAGGGTGCATGTACAATGCACGAATCAGTGTTTTAGGCCGAATACCGTCAGAATAGACAGTCCGCGCGGGTGGTGATAATCCATATTAGGCAGGCCGTCCACCATAGCCGGTCTCAAAAAGGAAAGTCAGGGCGTTATCGCCGAGCCGAAATCGCCGTTACAGCGGCTATAAGATTATGGCAATGCTCGAGAGGACACTCTGTCATCGTTCCGACATATTGAGAGTTGTCGCCTTTTGCAGCGTCCGAAATCTCTCCAACGAAGGTTAAAGATGTACTTACAACATATAATAGCTATATCATTCACACTGTGTCGCATGTTCACAGCTGGTTATCCGCCGAAGCTAAG